CCTGTACTAAGGCGAAATGCTTTTTTTGCGCACCCAGAGAACTTGCTCCTGTCTATGTTATCTGATGAACAAAAACATGTAAGAGAACTTGCCGCTAGACGCATTTTAAAGGCGAGGAAACCATCAGAACCCCGACAGCTTCGAGTTTTTGAAGTGCCAAAGATAAATTTAAACGCTTCGACATACATCGATTTGATAGACTGGCAGCAATCTTACTCGCAACCACCTATACTGACCAATGTCCCGGATGAGACTCTTCATTCCCTAGTTGAGTCAGGTGGTGATGATGAAGTCCTTTTCCTGCGGCTACCATGTCATACTCAAGCTGTGGAGCGAGCTGTTAAAACAGTGACCGAGGCATCTATGCAGCTTTGCCATAAAAAAGCAAGAGAAGCTTTAATTAAAAATAAAATTAGGTCACGAAAACTTATGCCTAAGTTCGAAAGTAAAAAGGATTTTATCGTGGTTTGAACATGTTTTATTATTATTTTGTCGTATTATTTGTTGATTTTTCTTTCTTAATAATAAAAATTAGTCCAAAAGCACTTTATTTTATTGGTTTACTTAGTTGTTTTTCCTATAGGTCACGAGAAATTAATTTACAAATAAATTACAAAAATATCAAAAATTTCAGTTTTTCAAACTCAATGCGCGGGTAGAAGGGGTTAACCTAGAAATTTTTTTTTTCGTTATTTTTCCATTAATGTATGTGGGTCACGTTTTTTTTGCTATTACAAAACTTATTGGACAACTTTATTTTTTTCCATACAAAAGCGACCCACCCTATTATACATATTATGTCTATTTATCCTTACTTATATTATAAATTGGAAAGTGATTTTGTTTGTTTGTTCCGCTTTCACGCCGTAACTACTGAACCGATTGCTTTGCGAAAATTTGGACACGTAAAGTAAGTAGTCAGAATTAAAAAATAAGGTACTTTTTAACCCGGAAACATATATTACCGACGTATAACAAAACATTGTAAGCTTCATACCAGTTTGGTGATAGATGGCGCTGTTTATCGTGAAATATATTGCAAACGAATGTATAATTCCACAAGGGCAAAGCCGCGGGTGGAAAGCTAGTCTCTCTCTATATTTCGACAACCACAACAACTCCTTCAAAAGAAGAACATAGGGTACACACATGCTGCGAAACGAAAAAAAAAATATTTACAAAGCGTCCCATGCAAATCGCGTGATAAGATCGCAACAGCAGAACAAAAGACAATCAATGATGACGTCACAGTCATACAGCTCATAATGAGCGTCTCATTGGCTGCCGCGGTGGGGTTTCTAATTAGCAAGCAAGTAATGACGTCTTAAGTCGTGCACTATTTGTCAGCGCGGTAATTTGTGTTTAATTTATAGTGGTCTTTTGTTTTGGTCCTAAGTATTCGGTTATTGTTTTGAATAATATAATAGTTCGGTATTTATAAGCGTTATTTCCTTCAGTTACACTGTCAATTCGGTCTAATGGGTGCAAGCTCTACTGCCGAAACAGAGATCTCAGATTTGTTTTCTAGGCCGGACAATACACTACAGGATATTTAAGATATTTAACGTTTCCGAATCATATGGTTGACTTATAACAATTGCGAAAGATACATTATAGTATGTTCACAGCTGTCTAAATCTGGAGTGAATATTATTATATTGTATTTACAAATGTCTATTTGACGAAACAATTCTTAGACTAGTTTACGAACGGATATTTCTTAACAAGATTGGCTTTGTGGATCGACGAAATAAAAACACAAATTCACACAGTAGTATCATTAAACTGTAATAGATTTTGATACATTTAACTTTACCCATAAAGTACCAAGCCGTCATAAAATCCTAAACCGAATTTAATATCACCGCTAACTAAGAAAGTTTAAAAAACTCTCACTCTAATAAAGTCGTCCAGTCATTCGAAATTTAATTAGACGGACATTGCCTTCTATAATCCTTTCCTTACCATTTCTCAATTTAAATTCTCACTGTAATTAAAATCTTAGAAAGCGTTCAGCTTTAAAGGCCTTATTAAGTGTATAAACCATCTTTATAACATGTTAATAAGGGGTATTGCAAGTCGCATAACATATTTAGGGCGTCATTACGTCTAATGGGAGACAATCGCGACGTAATCAGGCCCCTACCTGCGGCCCGGGGGCCCGCGGGGCCTACAACGTCTCATAATTATGTTAGGGCCCCGTTCATCTTGAATTTATAGCGTGTTGTATCAATTTTCACAATGTTCTGCGGTTGTGCGTAGTTAGTTGGCAGAACAGTGATGTGTTGCGAGTTAAGTTATAGGTCCATAGATGTCATAATCTATATAACTGTCTAGCGTAAAGATGTTTTTATTGTTTTATCGAGCTCAGAGTTCCTCACAGCTTTGATACTTTGAAATTGGTAGTTTAAATATACGATCCAAAGGTCATATTTAGACACATCTATAATAATATTATAAAGAGGTAAAAATTTTAAGTTTCTAAGTTTGTATGTAGGCGGTAAATTTTGGAACTGCTAGTCAGATTTCCAAAATTCTTTCACTGATAGATAGCTACAATATTCCTGAGTGCTATAGGCTAAAACATCACGCTACGATTAAATGGAGCCGAGCAGCGAGTGAAACCGCGCGAGAGTTTCACTCGCTGCTCGGCTCCATTTAATCACTAGTTATCATTAAATCGCTAGTTAGATAGATTAAGACAAGTGTTACATATACCAACATTGCAATATTTTCTATTTCCGTTTTTTTTATTATGTTCCTTTAGACGAACGAGTTTTGCTCTTCTAAAGTGTTGTAACTTCAAGTTTATTTTTTGAGACGAGCTGCAAAAATCGAACTATGGAACACTTTTACAACTCGTACTTAAACTGGCACTTAAAACTGAGTATCTAACTCATAGTAGTAAAGTGAGAATTTAATAAGTACTTAAATACTTGGCAAGCTATCCTGTTGGACCCAGTGGGCTTTCCTGTGCGACCTCCAGGGCTTAAAGGAGGTCCGCAACATAAAGTATTTAATACGAGTTTAACTTAACTTATATACCTAGTTAAGCTGTTCGAGTCTTTATCTTGCCGTAGGATACTGTGCGCTAATGTTGATAATTTAAAGTACTTATTTGAGTGTTTGTTGATTATTGAATTAGCTTGAAGATGGGGATAGAGCAACCATTACTTTTTGTACTTTTATTTGTTTCATGTGCCTCAAAATAGAATTTTCTCTTGAGTGTACTGTAGTGCTTTTAAATATTAATATAATCGTTTCTACAACTAAAGCTTATAATATACCACAATTCAAATTCCTGTGGTGGTTATTTTACATTGCCGGCTGACCTCTACAATAATCGCATTATAATCTAGGTCTGTCATTACGCGCCCGTAATGAACATCAAACAATGCGCGTCGATAAATAACTCACAGACGATCATTTATTGTCACGATGTCCAATTTATTATCATCGTCTCATATAAGAATTGTAGAAAATAGAATATGAAGTCTGAAAAAACTGAAACAAAAATGTTTTATTCTATCCAATTGTAGTACATAGTTTAGTCACATTCGTCAAATGTTGGCTGCCAAAGCAAAAGATAAAATATACCTTAAATCAATGACTATAGGACGCCATATTGTTTGTGTGGATTCACATTTTAATTTACTTACTCAATGAGTTATAAATAATAATAAATCAGTCGCCAGATTTTTTTAATGTTAGTGTTAACACAATTTGTAGTGAGAAAGCATTAGCATTGTGGTTCGAGTAACGAGTTCAAGCAACACATGGCCATAGTAAGATAAAATGGTTAATCTAACCCGATTACGAATAAAAGCAATCCTTCAGAACTTCCTCTGTATCGAACAAAACGTCTAATAACCTATAACACTAACAATTGAAGCATTAAATAAAACCCAGAATTTTACTGTCGCATTTATGTAACCACATCCTACGAACCTCACCTTATCGACAATCTGTATTCTAAGCTATAACATCTAGTCCGAGAGTAAAATTTTCATAACAACAGATAAGCGGTAATATACCGATAAAATCTTGGATCTGGGAAACAATGCCTTGGAACTCAAGTACCTACGATATAATTCAAATTGCTTACCGCGACACAAACTATAACAGCTCGTGCTCTGTATTAAAGGCCTCCTACGCGTCATAATTATGTGTTTTGGATTATGATGGATACGCTTTTGATGTATACGAGCGACGTGCGAAATTACCCAAGCCTTGTTACCCAGTCATACATTATAATATTCGGCAAATGGCTTCTACACTTATATGAGCCCTGGTATATGCATCTCAACCGTTTAAAAAGGGTAAAATCAATTGTATTGTGCGAGTGTCTAAGTTTGCCAAATGTGATGTGGATTTTTCTTCCAAGTCTCCAAGTTTTACGTCGTTCTGTAGCTTTGAGGTTAAAGGTATCAAATAATGCCAATGCTCAACGGTTTGATATGAAATATGGCAAAAGCTGCGTGAAAGAGTTTTATACGTATAACTGAAATTGTTTTATAGACGAATATATTTATTGTCTGTCTCAATCTTGTGTTTGATCTCAGTTACAATGAAAATGTGATGGTTTATGTACAATGTTATCTATAAGTAATTTTAAATACTTAGTTATCATGTAAAAGCCTTCATCACGTGATCTGGTAATTTGATGCAATTCAAAAATATCTAACTCAGTAACCCCTAACTCTATGGACAACCTCAGCAACAGAGGAGTTACGAGTGCATTGTCGACCTTTTAGGGATTAGGGATTTGGAGATTTAGGGATTGAGGAGGGATTGGGTGGGGGAAGGATCGGACCTGCGGTAACCTCACTTACGCGAAACACAACGCTGTGGTTGTTTCACGCCGGTTTTCTGTGAGGCCATGGTATCACTCCGGTCGAGTCGACGCATTTGTGTCGAAGCATGGCTTTCCCACACTTAAACCTAAATCTATGAAACACATAATCAAACTAAGAAACTAATAATTTATATTTTTTTTCCAGGTGCAGACAACACGGCTGCCGCTGCCGACGTTCACGCCGCGCGCCGTGGTCATGTACAGCGCGTCAGTCGGCGGCGAGGGCTCAGTGGCGCTACAGTTGCGCGAGGCGGGCCCCGGCGATTCTGCCCGATTTCACGACAACCGCCTAGCGATAGCATGCCATGAACCTGAGTTGCTTGCTGACTTCTTAAACGCCAATGATATCGGTGAGTTAGCTAATAAAACTGTTAAAACATTCTTATTGACCTAGTTAATAAGTGTCATACCAACCAACTAGTCAACAACAAGCCCACTCAATGCTGGCTATATTCAACAAATTTGGGTAATAACAAATTTACAATACACAGCTCGATTTTGAGTAATTATTTAAAAGAATTTACACTAACTTACATGACACACACGACAGAAATCAAGAAAACTTTTCCCTCCACATTCAGCTAGTCAACTGCTGCGCACTCAGACGTGTAAAATACATGTTCTTGCATTCGGTTTCGCATAAAAAATTTGAATTACAGTCAACAAAATTGGCATTCAGACTTCGCTACAACGTTCCAGATATTTTATTTTACGCGAAGAATCATGAGCGGTATTCCACGACTCGGAACCCGGAATGCTTCGTCGGTTATTTTGAATTTCAAATATCGAATTTTGCATTCGAAACTGACTGGAAGCAGCACGTTTGGACATCGCTCTGTCATTTGTTATCGACTCATTTAAATCTTGCAAGCGTTGTACATCACTATTTTATGGAAATGTACGGATTTCCAACTGTAGGGGTGGGATATAAAGAATTGAGTTTTAAGGCTCGTGTGAAAGAATGTAACGTTCCAGAGTGTAGGCAATGTCTTCATTTCAATTTCTCATGTTGTACTTGGAAAACATTTTTGAACTTAAATTTTTTCTACAAGCTAACTTGTATGTCCAACTGGCATTCGGCAACTTTTTCATCTTCTTGACGTATCTATTCGTTGCCATAGATTATTTATCAACTTCTTATCCTATTCTTTCCCATTTGAACAGCTTTCGAAATTATATGGGTAGGTAATTAAAATATTTTTAAATAATTATGTGTACAACAATAGGTACAACGAGTATCATGTTGTCATCAAACAAACTTAATTGTAAGATTTCAGTACGCAAACACAATTTAGTGGCAACAATAATTCAGACGATACACAACTAGGTAAATAGAATAAATCTAGATAGAACAAAACTCTAGTTCATTTACAAAACCAACACCCGCCGAGATTCTACGAATATTCTCAGCTAGGAGAAATAATTTATTTGTTTCAATATTACACCGTAAATCTGATTCGAAGATATGCTCTTAATTAATATTGCGAAATTCTATTCCAGTTGCCAGTATTTTGAATTAGAAAATGGAAGGCTAATTCCAAGTTTGAATTTAAATCGGATATCGTGTATTTTTTCAATTTTAATTTAAATACAATATTTTATTCGCAGCTTAAGTAAAAAGTTTTATTGATAAGTAAAATATAATTATTTGAACTAAAAAGAAAAATACTCAATATGTTTTTTGGGTACAATTTCAGTTCATTACCAAATTCGTCAATGAGAAAATATATTTTTACCTAATTTTACTTCTAACAAAGACTGACAAGATTAGATTAGAACCAAAATTTGCTATTGGCTGTAATCATACAAAGAATAACCTAGGTTTGGATCTCTTTTTAACCAAGCCTAATTTGGAATTCAATGTAAACCTTTTTTCGTGGGGTTGGATATAGAATATTAAAAAACGTACCGACTTTGGTTAATTATCCACTTACAATACCTATTCGAAATAAGAACTCGGTGTGTATCCGAATATTTTTAAACGCATTCATTCTGTAATTTTTGTTAAAGGATCAAAGGTACCGTAATTGTAACGGTAGAATTCGAATTGTCTAGTTCGTTCCATCCCCAATACCCGAGGGCCCACTGCAGGACATCAACTTGTCAAAATTCACTCGAAAAGTCTCGATTTTGCTTAAAAATGCAAAGTCATGCAAACGAAGCCTGAAGGCTCCTAATTGAATTAGACCTTCTTAAGGCGAACGATGAAAATTTCTCTTCTATTATTGAGCTCGTAAATTGTTAAGATGTTACCGTTGTGCATTTCAATTACGTAGTTATTATTTAATTATCGTTTAGTTTGGAAGGCTACGTTTACTACTTGGACTTAAATTACTTGGTAATTGAATAACTAATGTCTATTCCAGTTTTGAATTAGTTAGTCGGACGTTTTTCAAATCAATATTTTAAACTGTATAGAAGGAGGTTTTTGATGGCCACGGTTTTGTGTTCAAAATTTGAATTATTCTCATATTTGTTCTAGGCGTTTTTAATAACTGTGTGAGCAAAGAGTCTTAGTAATAAAGAGATCGATAATCTCTTTTTTGTTATTACTGGAACTAAAATGTGATGAGCAGAGATCATTGATAATCTTTCTTTCATTCAACTCATGTATTTGGATATCAAGTGTATTAACAATGAGCTAAAATACGCGACAAGTTTCATAACAACGTGTTCCATCACCTCAAACCCTTGTAGGTAAATATTCGGGAATTCCATTAGCCAATCCCTTAGAGAGTATTTAATTAACATATGGTAAACAACTTCATTATCCCTTTGTGTTTTGAACAAACTTTTCGACATTCTATAACTTCTGCTGTATTTAAAATATAGGTACTGTAAAAGAGGAGGCCTCACTGGGAACAATATTTTTGGAAATTGTTACTCTTTTAATTACAAAGAGTAGAAGGTTATGACTTCAAGAGAACCCGTGCCGTCAGTTCGTTTTTTGCTAACGTCGCCCTGGAGGCGAATTTGATCCTTTTTGGAGAATGTCGGATCAAGGGTGAATTTGGATTAAGAATCTGAACGCCCTCTGTTTTTATCTTATTTTATTCAGTTTTTTTTTGCTTTATTCTGTACTTTTGCTATTGTTGTTTTTTATGGAACGTTTTTGGGTTTTTTATAGTTGATTCTCTAATAATGTAGTGAAAATATCTGACCAGACACCAATAAATTATGCAGAGCACTTGACATAGCCGAAGTAAACAAATAAAAAACGGCAGCACGGCTCAAACACAATCAACTTATCGCTCCTCCATAAAAAAGTCGCTCATAAAAAAAGGAAAAACAACATTATTTTCCTTAAAACACAACCTCGGCAAAGGGGAACAATAAAAAAGCGAGCAGCAGTAAGCAATCTGCAATATGAATAAGTGGTAGTTTTTGCATATTTCATCCGCGCGCAGTATCAGAGCCTCAAGCACTTACAAAGATGAATTGTCACTTTTGCAAATTGTATCCGTCGAGTCACTGGGTTCCGCTAGATGACGGTTGGCTATGACAATTATAACGGGATCATGCCAAAATGAACCTTTTGCAAATATAAATTGGTACTAAGTTCATTTAAAACAAGTTGTAACAACTATGAAACTACCGTAAGGAATTATGTAATTTGTTTGCTGTTTTAATGTACCCCTTCTTTTAAAAACTGTTAAAAGAAAAATATAAGTCTTATATAAGTCGACTTAACTAAATTTAAATCCGAAAATAATTCAACCCCATTCTTTTGCAGCTCGACCTTGAATGACCCACGAAATAGAGCGCAAAATTACATGCGCATGATCTCCATGCATTTACATAAAATTTCCCGCCCCAATGTAGTCCACGTCCCGTATTTTATACGAGGTTGCATCAGAAGCTTTATTTTATCTGAGGCATTGCGAATTCTATACTCTATTTTCAAATTGGTAACACTAGATATTTTGTTAATGGCCTTTACGAATAATCGCCATAAGCCTAACAAGATTAAAAAAGAACGTTCAAATTTGTTTCCTAAATTGATTCTGTTTTTAAAAATCGTCCGTTGAAATGGAATCCCGTCGTAAATATTTTTGTTGCTTCAAAATATTCGCTGGTTGCTATAGAATTAGTACCGGTTTTCCGATCGACCCAAATTTTCGTCCACATAAATTCACGTGGGGCTGTTTCTATTAAATTTTACTACACGAACCCTCATATAACTTTGTTAATAAATGTTATAATATATTGGAGGCAGATGCTAGTACTATCTGACATACTAACTATGGTATAGTATCCGCTGTTTAGCTGTTTGGAAATTTCTAAATTATGTCTTTGATAAACTATTTGCATGTCATGATTTGTGCCTGTCCAAACTAATATGAAAGGGTCCGTATGTGTTAAGTAACGTGTTAGAAGTGCCCCAGAATACATTTTTGGTAAGCATTGCTTATGACCCGCTGCCTTAACGAGATACTGTACTATGTGCTTTGAATGATAAATCGCAAAACGAGTTGAAGAGGTGCAGGTGAAGGAAATTTTAACAAAAGAAAATAATATTTTGCAAGTATATATTTTTGCATATCGTTTGCATGAAGAATTGCCATTGTGGTTTATAGATTGCATTACAGTTCATAATCATATTAACACTTAATTTCATAAAAAATACATCTCACTTCTCTTATATAAAAATTAAATACCTTAATTCTATATCGAGTACTACTCCCCGAGTTTCATTTTAAAGAAAATGATAATTAAAATTACTAGAACTTAATGGCCTTAACGAAATAAATTATGTGATGAGATATCTACTTATAATTGTTTTTACTTTTATTCGAAAAGACGAAATGAAAACTCATAAGAAGTAAAAGTTATTACCAAATGTCATAAGAATTTAAGACAGGGACACTAAACAGAAAATATATAGGTATCGTTTTAAGAAATTCATAAATATTTTTAATTGCAATAATAATTGTGTTGCAATATTTTTTGGATTTTTTTTTTGCTGTAATAGTAATCGTTTCTCAAAATAAATATTCTCTTATATTTAAGTCTTTCTGTTTTTATTCCTGCGCAAAAGTTGACATTTCTTTTTACACAAATATATAGTGTAATACAGTACACAAAAACTAAGTATCTTTACTAAACAACAAAAATAGAAAAGTCACTAAAATAATACTTAGGTATCACGAAAATCCTCAGTAGGGACGTGAAAAAGAAAACCAATACTATTTCGCAAATACCAGAATATTAGTAGTAAAAGGTAGGTATATCAATGCGCACATTGTTTTTAAACGTTGCCCCACACTAGGCGTTCCTCCTGTGTCGTAGGTGCATTCACACCCAGACCGGGAACAGTAATTTGTGGATCACACAAAGAGTTGTTCCGTGCGGGAATCATACCTGCTATAGGTTGCGTGACAGTCAGTTCCAACGTCGTCGTTATATTATAAGGCTTAGTACACATATATATAAATATGTATATGTATGTATGTATAAAACAATATGTAGTCAAAATAATAATATAAACGTATGTAGTTGGCAACAGTTCGGACGTGAAGCAATTCTCTAAAGGCCCTACAAATATATTAGTTCGATTGTATTGAGCCAATCACTCAGACAGTATCCAAATTGAGCCGTCAAATGTAATAGACAAGCGGGTTACTCAGACGACAGAACTACTAACGTCTGAGAATATATGAAATCATACAAGTAAGTACATATATTCTTACTTACTAAATTATAAAAAATCGAAAGCATATATCCCCTTACTGGTTGGTTTTTCTTCATCTAATGGTACCTGTAATTATAGTGCCATGAAAAGAAATTTTGTTAAAGTGGGAACATCATCAAATGACTTGTCAAGCTCTAGATAGCTTGAAAGAGTCTCTTTTACTGACTTAAAACCAACCCCATTCCTTCTCCTGCTCCGGGCCGAGGCCGCGGTACATTATTCGCCTGCACCCCGAGATTTCATGTGCCTAGAGGGTATTAAAAACTTTTTTTCAGTTTGACCACGTTTACGAAGTCGCACACAGAGCTAATAGCAATGTAATTACGTAATACATTAATAAAGTAAATAAAACAAAATTCCGCCCTTCAAACTCTTTTTGCTGATGGCCCATTGCTTTTAGTTGTAATCTTATTATGGAACTAAAACAATAAAAGGCAGCTTTCATCGAACCCCTGCGCGATACAATCTTATCGATACGTTTTAATCGAATCGGATATCGGAACGCCATCGATAGCGCGAAAATTCCCATTGTTTTACTTTTTTTTGCAAAGGGAAGACGAAACTTTTTTGAACGTCAAAAATTTTTCTATTTATGGAATAAACGGCTTTTTGTTATATGGTTCTATAATAATATTATAAAAAACTACGCAAAGACAAAACGTTACGAATTTAAGGTAACATTAATTAGCCTTTCAATACAATCACTAGTAATAAAAGTAATCACTATTATCTTTCATCAATTTGCTACATTTCTCGATTGGCATCGTTACCAAAAATGACCACTAGGGAATTATTTCAGCAGACGAAAGTTTGCCTGTACCCCAGAGAAAAAGCCATCTCCACAATTATTGGCTAGAGCGGTTCTCACTCCAACATTTACGCTAGTTATTTACTAATAAAATCTCTACAGGAGATTCTAGGACACATTAATTATTATCACAAGACTTTATTTTTATTCGGAACGAGACATTCTATTTGTTTGCGGTTCCAATATAAACAAACACGGAGAAAAAAGAAGTGGTTCATGTCTAGATAGGTATAAGTATAACTCCAGAAGGTTATAAAACGACTTGTGCCACCCCGTATGTGTTTCACTATTAACAAAGAAACGAGAAAATGTTAAGGAAACCAATTCACTCTTTTTCATAGAACAAGTGGGGTACGAACCCTCGACCCTCAGCAGGAAATGCGGAACCATAAAGTTGCAAATGAAGTAATATCATCGCCGAGCAAAACTTACCACCAAAAACTAAGTCGACAACTAGTCGCAGTAGCACGACCCGCAACAGACAACTACCAATTTGCACTCCCAATTTACTTACTGTCATTTAATTTATCTGAATAAATTTGAAGGAGCGCTGCGACCGCCCGGCCGTGTTGCCTCTTTGTAATTAATATTGACCATTCCAACCGAAATATTGCCAACTATTCACTTGTACTCAACTATTCTGCTGCCGTCTCTAAAACTGTTTTCTGACGATGAATTTCTGATTAGTTGAATTTCTAGGGTCCGGTCCCAATTACGCTTTGTTATGGCCTGCAATGAGTGACCGCTATTTATTAAACAAATGAATAACAAAACATATTATTTGCTATGAATCCGGAAGCTATTTTCATTGTAAAACTATTGGGTTATAAAGGCAAGGACGAAAATATAGGGTTTTGAATTAATCCTTCTTTGCTTACATCGAGTAAATAAACCCCACCCTAAAGTTGGGAACATTCGATTCCATTCTATAGGCAAATTAAAAAACTTTTGCCGCTCAATTTAAAATTCGAACCCGACCTTATTTGTATGCGGCCAGCACACAAAATATCCAAATGTAAACGAATCATAATTCAAGATTATGCTGCATGAAGAAAAATATTGTTGAAATTGAAGCCGTGGGGAGCACCGGGCGTTTATTGCATCCTTCGCGCGTCACTTGCCGTTTTATTATGTCCCACATTTGGTCGCAAATAAACAAGATGATAACCGAAACGTGCCAAAAGAATTCACAACTTTTTTACGGCAGCCATATTAGAGAATTTGGAAAAGTATGATTGATTGAACAATCTCCTTTTAGGCTTTTATTGTTGACATTTATTACTTCTTTAGGTAATATACGATGTAATATAAAATTTACGAGTAAATCGGTTTCGATGTAATCTGATTTGCCATAGCTTACACGCGTAAATAATAGGTACTACAATTTAAAGATTACCTAGTTAAATTGTGTTGGATATGTAAGTGCAAGGTATGATGACGTCAAAAGTATAGTCTAGTCTTGCTATAGTATCAAAACATCTGAAATCTAATGAGTACTATTTTCGTAGACAATATTTTTATAAAAATACTTAGTGAAAACTTACTACCTACTAGATATTTACTTATAAGACGTAAAAACACATAACACAACAACAACTAAACCAACAAATAAAAAAACGTTTCAATTATTTCAAAAACTCTTCAGACTTAAAACGTTCAAATGAAATCAAATCAAATTTAATTTGATGTGTAAGATGTCGTAGGTCTTTTTAAGCCGCCATTTTGTAATTGGTTTCCAACATTCCAACATGGCGTCTTATTTCTTAAGTCGAAAATATTAAATTAGGTCTGATTTAAACAGTTCTCCCTTTAATAGAACAATTGAGTATGACATCTAAGAGGTACTTTAGACCTACGTAATTAGGGACCCGCCGTACATCGGGGAATAAGGAAATTGTTCAACTGACATAAATAATTTATAGGGATTCGAAGCAGCACAAGTTTTGAGAGCTCTTCTGTTGCTCGCAGCCAGTCTTAAAACAATTATTTTGCCATCAGATACTTATAATATTACTCTGCGGTACATTAAGGTTGTGATAATTATGAAACATTTATTAATTGAGTAAGTAAGGCATGTTTTTTTTATTTATTTGTTTTTTCCGGCATTCTATGCTATTCATTGTATAGTATGCTATATTTTTAGTTATACTACTTTTTAATTGATTTATCACATATAACATGTACGTTGTATTTATTTCTTACTTTGAAATATATTAAACTCCAATCTCCGTAGTTTCGAAACAAAAAACACTCACATGCGAGTGTAAACACATTCTTCGAGAAAGTTCGACTAGAAACCGCAAACCTCAACATATAAATTACGCAATAACACCAAGTTCATGATATACTCAAGTTACAAACTTAATTTTGTCGTAAGTGAAACCTATTCGTTACGTTTACTTGAGATTATAATTAACTAGATTAATTTTAGGCTCTCAGTAATTTAATAATGTAATAAACCTATGTAAACTGTCTGTTGGGATAGTTTCAGATCGTAAATAACGCGACTCGAAAGGAACAGTCTATCATTTGCCCCTGTAATGTAATAGTACATAACAGTATTTGGGTCCGGTGTTGTAATCTTATTGGCGTAGTTCAGTACCACTGCCAAGTCCCTACTAGCTGGTTTATCGATCAAGTAAAAGTATAAGAAACAGACATATAGATTAAGGTATTAATTAATTGTATGAACTTATAAAATTATACAAAATAAAAGTTTCGACGGACAAATGTTGTAACAAAATCTCAGTTTAGTAAACCCATGACTTAAACAATTCAATAATTTCACATTATAGCAGCTAACGGTCAACTGATGTTTGTAATGAAACCATAAAATCGTTGATTACTGTACCTATACATATATGATCTAATCCTCATCTTACAAGTACTGAAATTATATTTAATTGTTGCAGATGGCGAGCATGGTGGCCTGTCAGCTCTCCTGGGAGCCGCCTCACCAGACCTGGCTCTAGCGTCTGACGCTTCCGACAGTTTGCCCCTGCCAGATCATGATAACGGTCAGTCATTAACAATTCTCTTTTTAGAAGGAGGTTAATTATCAATATCAATAGTCAGTAAGTGAAACTGAAAATGCGGAGGATTTATGCTAAAAATGTGTGTGACAGGCTAGTAAACCAGCAGTGGAACATCCCACTGCTGGTCATTTCCCATCTCGCTTCCACTCCTCCCGATCTCTCGATCGTGTCCACTAGTCACGACGATAGGCGTCTAGATCGTCACGCCATCTCTTCCGGGGCCCAACCTGTCTGCGGCGTCATGATACCAAAAATAATATGTATAAAAATATTTATAGTTTATTTTTTAGTTTAACACAAAAATTTTCCTAATACGAAAATCAAAGGCAAAATAGTAAATTAAATGAAATTACCAAATCTGTCCTACTTTTACCACACTGCATCTAAAGCTACCCAAACAATAATATTTCTGTTTAATCAACCTAATGTTACTAATTCAAACAATTGCTGATTGAGATCAATTCGTCTGAGACACAACCGACAGTAATATCAATGTGTATACATACTCCAAGTAATTGTACACATTTAGTACTGGGAACAATGTGCTCTTTGATTCAAGATAAAGTGCAATTAATTTGCATACAACACACATCTAATAAGGCCCCGTATTCACCAACCAACTACAATATAGGATAGTTTCCAACTAGTCAAATTCGATATTTTTTTTCCGAAATATATTATGAAATAGCACGTTAAAACGTCATATTTTTTAGCATCACAAAAAGCACTTATCTTCCTTGAATTATCTACAAAGAATACGAATATTGTTTTTATCATAATAATAGTATCTTTTAGCTTGAACAACAAATTTTGTGTGGTATACTTACAAATTATTATTTCAGGTCTTATGTGCATCTAAAATTATTTCTTTATTAATTCAAACTTCATGCACAATGGGTACATAGGCGGACTTAATGACTTAGGCATTTTTCAATTATGTATGTGTTTGTGATCTCACTGACGTCACGTCACAGAACATAATGCTAGTATAGTATAATGAAAAAGCAACATGTTGTGCCACATATCGCGCGACAAAATATTGCGCAGTGGAAACGATACTTAACGATATACTTATACTTAAAGTAAGTAGGTATAGATATGTGATACATTAGTGAATGTAAATTATGTCAAAGCGGAGACGTCTAGGAAACCCTGTCGTATATGTACACATACATATTATGTATAGGTTTATATATGTCGTCTCAAAAGCATCTGAATAGCGTACCTACGTCGCATCGCCTTTGACTTATTTGTCTGTCTCGTCTCATACTAAATGAAAGCTAATGAAAATACCGTCAAAGTAACGTTTTGGTTTTGCTTTGAATAGTAATATTTCAGTTCTATAGCGTCATTTATTTGTTAGTTCAAATTTATTTTATTTTAAAGACCAAAGTAAATTTTTCATTACTTTTGATTGAATTTGGAAGCCAAATTACCAATTACAGGCTCTTGAATACCTCCTACAAACTGGATGTTTGTAGTACCCAATGTAATGGAAGAGTAAACGAAGAAAGAGACATAAAATACAAGTAAACAACACAATAAATGTTGCCATTTCAATTATAAAATTGGAATGCTTTACCGCCATAATGAAAAGCAAACTTTAGAGGGAGTTAAGGCGTAATATACGTATTCCTAATGACGCGCTTATGCGCGGTGGATTGATGAATGCGGCTTTAAAACATTAAGATGAATAGATCCGTGGGTTCTGCTCCATTCCGTGGAAGTTTGCGAGATTGATGTGTTTCGACGACTGACACCGGAGTTAGGAACAACCGTTACTCCGGGTTTAGAGACATGAGACGTGATATAGGAGCATTTGTAACAACCTGTTACGTAATTCTTTGGCGCTTTATTGAGATTTATTGTAGTGTTAGTAAAAATATGTTTGAAAGAAAAAGATACGAGTTGCTTGAAATAATTTTGTTTCAATTTCGAATGTTCTGTTGACGTAACGTTAAACTCGTGTATTATATTCCTAAGAAAGAAGTAAATACATTATGAAAAGGTTACCGTGGTCAATTTAAGAACAAATTACTTCTCACTGATAATATTTCAGACAAGAAATGTTGTTCTGAAAACTGTACCTCTTTTCCTTTTTTTTTATAAATTTTTCTTTCTTCTTTATTTAATTTGTCGTGTTTAGTATTCTGCTATTCTGCTGATATAAGCACAATTGGTTATCCTTCTGCATTTTTATCAACTTTTTGTTCAGGTTTTTTTCATCAACCTAAACCTCCTGTAATTTGACTGGCGTTAGTAAATATTGTTGGCTATCAAGACTAATCGAACTACCAGTAAAATCTTCAGAATTTTTATTATAATATTCACTCGGTAAAGAAGTTGTCATAGCTTAATCACCTACAAAATCTTCTGCTAATATCACTGGTAATTCATATTACTGTTAATTGAAACCAGTATTAATAATTTAGAGTACTAAACAATTTATAAAAAAATACACTTATAAAATATGAACGCATATTGTCTAGACTATACAATTACTAAAATATTAAGCAGCCTAATAGCCTAGCTATTCTACAAATGCTTTTATTGAATCTTCTATTAATTGACCTAGAACATTAAATATCTATTGTCTAATGAAATTAATATTCAGTTGTCCAAGCCACTTTGATCGCTCTCATAACTTTGTTAGAGCATTTGCATAACTTAAGCACTTACTTTGAATAAGAATCTCACTAACCACAAGGGGTCAATTTAATTAATAAACATAAATAATTTAATAATAATGTACCAGTTGAGGCGACTGAGTAGAATAAGTACACTTTTTGGCCTATTCTTTCCGCGAGTGTACTTCGAAACGATCAAGAGTCACATCTATACATTACTATAGTTAAAGTGATTATCATATAAAGATATGACTATATAATTACTAAGTGTGGGAGAGCCATGCTTCGGCACGAATGGGTCTTCTCGCCCGGAGTGATACCACGGCCTCAAAGAAGACCGGTGTGAAACAACCACAGCGTTGTGTTTTGCCGTGTGAGTGAGGTTACCGGAGACCTAATTCTTCCCCGCCCCCAATCCCTCCTCAATCTCTAAATCTCCAAACCCCTAATCCCTAAAAGGTCGGCAACGCACTCGTAACTCCTCCGTTGCGGGTGTCCATGGGCGGCGCTGATTACTTACCATCAGGTAATCCGTCTGCCCGTTTGCCGACTTATTACATAAAAAAAATATATTATAAAGGTCTCTTATCTGTCGAACAAGGAACGAGCATTAAACACCACACTTATCCAAGGTGGTTTTAGAAAACGGACATACGTAACGATAATCGGGTACACACGTAAACATGTAGGTAATAGACACGAATACTTTTACATCAAAAATGATCAAATATATTACGATTTGCATGTCCACACGGACTTATTTAGTTAAACCACTTAGTTATTTATTTGCCTCTGTGCAGTTATCTGCTAAATGCTAAATGCAAGAGCACCACATACCTCTAATACAGTTCCCAGTTCACATTTGAACAAGTTGAAAGTTCTTAAAGAGCCGCCTAAAGGACTATTTAATGTTCATATGAAGCAATCCCTAGGGATGCTAAAGTGGCGACCTCTTGTGAGCGCCGTTTGTAACTTGTCAAAGGGAGTTTATTTTCTGAGTGGCGGTTTGAGCTAATCCTGTCACTGGCTAAGTGGCTGGTGTATGGAGAATTTGCAAATAATTTATTTGTGTTTTAAAGATCTAATGTGAACATAATCACGAACATAATATATTTTCTTTCTTGTTTAACATAATTATTTAAAAAAATCGTTAACTTACAATTAATACCAAATCACTCAATCTATGTATCCGTTTTAATATATTTCATTCCATTTAGTACATTTTTTAAAATTAAACTAACCTAAAAATACTTTATACCGTAAGTCCCTTTGATAAGTGCCCTTTAATTAAAATGCTCTCATAGCAGATTTACTAAAATAAGCACCTTATTAACAGAAGCAAGCTTCACCGCGATATTCAACACCAATCAACTTTGTAATAAAACAACTTGAAACAAAATTAACCAGAAAATAATTAACAAGTATCAGAAACAACCGCGCTTGACGTACAAGCTTGAGCTAAAAAACTTAGTACATTAAAGTTCTGGCAGGCAACTATTCAGGAAGAATCTAGAACGTCTAGAATGTACGGTGTCAGTTGCAGCCCGCGAATGTAGCGAGGTAAAATTACTTTGTATCTTACTCACCGAACTATTCGCAAAAATCTTCTGAGATACAGAAAATATATATTTAGGAAACGTACGAATCTTTCTTTAATATAGTGCAACCTTGTAAAACTTATGAATGACCAAATGTCCTCGCTATTCTAACAGACAATAGTTTATTCACATATGGTCATAGATTTTTTTTTACATATAAAATCTCACATTGAAAACCGAGTCTAATATTTAGGTACGTATCACGAGAATCCACAAAAGGCTGGCATCGTACTTGTAACCTTTTTATATCACTGTTAGATGAACTGCAAAAAAGAACAACGAGTCATCTCGCAAAAAAAATCGAGAAACGGATGTCAATATCTTACACCATACACGGAGAACCGAATGAAATCTAATACGAAGGTGAGCATGTTGACACGAAGCTAAAGCCTAATGAGTTGGAATTACATCGCAGCCGGCTCAGTGCAATAGATGTCACTCGTCAAGCAAAGTCAAAAGCCGAAATCCACGTCAGAACATCGAACAATGGAGAGACAGGTCAGGACTCGGGGCGATACGAGTGAACGGTGTCGGTTGCAGGTTCGCAGTAATTCGCGTCACTCAAACGTCATCCGTCAATCTGACAGTACACTATACAGCCAACGAGATATCGTGCTGCTGAATTTAGTTAGTTTCGAAGCGAGATTTTAGATTTTATTCTTGTAATTTTTGGGAAACGAAGTAATTTTGATATTAGAAAAATATGTTGACAAATTTCGCTAGTATAGTAAATTTCTTTTTAGTTTTACGTGTAAGA